TTTTTTTTTATTTGTGCGTGTGCGTGTACCGTCAAATTAGATCTGACTGATACAGGAGGGGATTGTCCCTCCTTTGAAGGCAGAACATCTGGTGGATTCGAACCGTGCTCCTCTGGGACTGCAGTGCAGTTTCTTGCCACTAGGCCACCAGAGCTCCCCAAAAGCAAACTTTTAAGGAACTCTGGTGGCCTGGTGGCAAGAAGCTGCACTGCAATCCCAGATGCTCTGCCGGGGAAGAAGGGACAATCTCCTCCTGTACCTGTTAGATCCAATTCGATGGTACACACAAAAAAAATAATAAAAGCAAACTTTTTGTTTATATCAGTTTGCTAAGTTCATATACATTGTGTTCCACACTATTCTCCAAGGTATTGAGTATGGGTTCAGGTTAAATGAAACCCTTGCCAATGTCAACCTTTTCTCCATTTATCATGATGATGTCTGTTGGCTCAACTGTGAGGATTTTTGTTTTTGTTAAACTGAGCTGTAAGCTATACTGAAGGCTACAGTCTGAGTTTCATCAATAAGTTCTTCACGTTCTCCTCATTTTCTGCAAGTAAGATTGTCTCGTGTGCATATCATGAGTTTTTGATGAGTCTTCCTCCAATTCTGATGCCACATTCCTCTTCAGAGTCCAGCTTCTCAAATGACTGGTTCAGCACGAAGGTTGACTAGGTCTGGAGAAGGGATCCAACCCTGACACACTTCTTTCCTGATGTTAAACCACGCCGTGCTCCCTTGTTCTGTTCAAACAACTGCTTCCCGGTCCTTCATAGCCAGGTTCCACATGAGCACAGTTCAGTGGTCCGGAACGCCTCACCTCCTCAGGGTTATCCAGTTTGTTCGGATCCACACAGTCGAATGCTTCTGGCTACTCAATAAAACACAGGTGATTGTTGTTGCTATGTGCCATCGAGTCAAGATGTTATGTCCAAGGGGAGCGCTGGCGGCCTAGTGGTAAGGAGCTGCAACTACAATCCCAGAGGCGCACGGTTCAAATCCACCAGATGCTTTGCCGGGGAAGGAGGGACAATCTCCTCCTGTACCAGTCAGATCTGATTTGACGGTACACTCACACAAAAATAATAAAATAAAATAAAATTGAAAAAGATGTTATGTCCAGTAGCTCTGAACCCTGCCCTGTCCTGAGCCAGTCTCAATGACACTGACACACCTACCCCCATTGCTGTAGTCACTGTATCAATCCATCTCATCCAGGGTCTTCCTCTCCTGCACTGTCCCTCCACCCTCCTGAGCATGGCCATGTGCCCAAAGTACGTGAGATATAGCTGCAAAATCCTAGCCTCCACAGAGAAACTTGGTTTCACCCTTTCCAAGACAGACCTATTTGCTTTCTTGGTGGTCCCTAGTATGTTCAAGACTCTTCTCCAGCACCACAACTCAGGCGCATCAATGCTCTTCTCTCATCCTTAGTCATTGTCCAGCTCTCTGATGCATTGCAAGTAATTGGAAAGACCATGGACTGGACCAGGGGTGCCTTAGTCTCTAGACTGACATCGTAGCTTCTCAGATTTCCTGACTGCTTGTGCCAAGAATGTAGATTGTGGAGCCGAGCAAGCTGTAACTGTTAACGACCTCAATCTCTTCTCCATCCATCATGGTGCTGTCAATTGTCCCAGTGGTGAGAATCTTTGTTTTCTTGATATTGAGCTTCAATCCATATTGAAGACTACAGTCCTTGACCTTCTGCAGCAAGCGCTTCAGGTCCTCCTCAGTTTCAGCAAGCAGGGTTGTGTCATCTGCATAACAAAGGTTGTTGATCAGTCTTCCCCCAATCCGGATGCCATAAAGCCCAACTCCCAAATGACCTGTTCCGCATATAGATTGAAAAGATATAGAGACAGGACGCAGTGTTTCCCTGCTCTGTTCTGATGACTGCTTCCTGGTCCACATATAGGTTCCATATAACCACAATCAAGTGTTCTGGGATTCTCATTCTCCTCAAGATTAACCACAATTTGTTGCAATCCACACAGTCAGATGCCTTTGCATAGTCAATGAAACACAGATAGATATCCCTCTGGTACTCTGCTTTCTGCCAAGATGCATCTGACATTGGCAATAATGTCTCTAGTGCCATGGCCTCTTCTAAACCCAGCCTGTTATTTCTGACAGTTCTCTGTTAATGTACTGTTCCAGTCATTTTTGGATAATGTTCAGCAGGATTTTGCTTGCGTGTGTTATGAGTGATACTGTATGATAATTTCCACACTCTGTTGAGTCACCATTTTTGGAATGGGAACAAATATGGATCTCTTCCAGTCAGGTGCAAGGTGGTTGCCATCCAGATTTCCTGGCACAACCTGGTGAGCATGCCCAGGGCAGCATCTGTTTGTTGAAACATGTCACTTGGTATTCCATCAGTTCCTGGGGCTTTATTTTCTTGCCAAGTCCTTCAGAGCAGCCTGAACTTCCTCCTTCATCACCACTGCCTCTTGATCATATGTTGATCATATGCACAATATATGACTTATTCATAGCAAATACCTTTTATAAGAAACATAAATGCAGACTATACACATGGATTTCACCTGATGATATGCATAGGAATCAGACTGATTACATCTGTGGAAAAAAAAACATTGGAGAAATTAGTTATCAGCAGTGAAAACTAGGCCAGGTGCTGACTGTGGAACAGAACATCAACTGCTCATATGCAAGTTCAAATTAAAGCTACAGAAGGTCAAATGAAGTCTACAAGAATCAAAATTTGACCTTGAATCTGTCCCACCTGAATTTAAAAACCAACTCAGGAACAGGTTTGAGGCCTTGAACATTGATGAACAAAGACCAGATGAGCTCTGGGAGGCTATCCACGAAGAATGCAAAAAGTCATTACAAAGAGAGACGAAGAAAAGACCAAAATGGATGTCAGAAGAGACTCTGAAACTCTGAGTACTGAACTAGAGCATCGAGAAGCCAAAGCAAAGGGAAGAAATTAAGGAGCTGAACAGATTTCAAAGGGCAGCTCGTGAAGACCAAACAAAGTATTGTAATGAAATGTGCAAAGACCTGGAGACTGAAAATCAAAAGGGTAAAACTCACTCATCATTTCCTAAGCTGAAGGAACTAAAGAACAAATTCATGCCTCAAGTCACAATATTTAAGGATGCTCTTGGAAGCAGGAGTGGTGTCCACTTCCTAAATAACATGCCTCTTGAATCTCTATGAATTTGGATAAATGTTGACAGTTGTAGAGGGACTTGAAGCCTTTTGTTCATGGGGTCGCTATGAGTCGTGCTCGACTTAAAGGCAATCAACAACAACATAACAACGGGTAGAATGTTGAATGATCCACAAAGTATTAAAAAATGATGGAATTCACCAGGTGCTCTGCTGGAGAAGGACGGGCAATCTCTTCCTGTACCAGTCAGATCCGATTTGATAGTTGTTGTTGTTAAGTGCCGTCAACTCGCAGGCGACTCATAGCGACCCTATGAAGGAGAGTCCTGACGATTTGATAGTTGTTGTTGTTGTTGTTGTTGTTATGTGCCGTCGAGTCGTGTGTGACTCATAGCGACCCTATGCACAACAGCCCTAAACCCTGCTCTATTCTGCGCCAACCGCACTGCCTCTGACACACCCATCCCGATTACCCCAGTCACCGAATCAATCCATCTCATCCAATCACTAGGGTCTGCTTACTACTATTCCTCCTCCTTTGTATTTCCATACTTGATAGTTCTACCTAGGTTGCCCTTTCTGTTAGTCTGCGTGTGTTCAAAAAAAAGGAGACGATGATGACGACGGAAGGAATATACAGAGTCAGTATACTACAAAGAATTGGCTGACACAAAAGAATTTCAAGAAACATCAAAACCCAGGTCAACATCTCTTTTTGGTATTCTTCCGCGCAGCCAAGATCTGTGTGACATCAGTAACAATGTCCCTGTTCCGTGGTCTCTTCTGAGTCCAGCTTGAATTTCTGCAAGTTCCTTGCCTACTTCTTTTCTAGTCATTTTCAGCACTGTTTTACTTGAGTATTATTAATACTGCTCAGTAACTGGGGGAGACCGGGAGGGAGCGGTCAGTGGGTGGACAGGACTGTGGGCTGGAGCTGGGCGGGGTGGGCCAGGTGGTTCGTGGTCAACTTTTTTTTAATGGGCACAGAGATGGGTCATATCAGCTGGGCGGCCAGCCGCTGTCTTCCACGTTCCCTGCCCTAGAGGAGTTGCTGAAACTGCCCCACCTGCCGTCGGTTCCTGGAGCCACACGTGGCCAGTGCTCAGAGCCGCCTGGACTTCAGCACCACAGATTCACGATCCGTGCTTCCCACAGCAGCTCCCTGTCACCATTTCCCTCTGGAGCAGTGACTCTGTGTGTCCTCTGTCTCCTTTTCATGTTTACTGTGCCACCGACCACTTTGGCCCTCGAATCAATCCTCCAGGGTGGCAGCTGGAAGCCTGTATTTGTTCTTTTGGCTTGCAATGCCAGGCACGGCTCCCCTTCGGGTTTTCTGACCTCAGTCTTTACTCGTCCAGAGAATGACAGTCGTGCGCTCGGATTTGTCATCGGCAGCTTGAAAGGTGACATGGACTCCTGTGTGTCCATGAGCTCGTTGCTCTCGGATGGTGGAAGAGCGCTTCGGATAAGGGTGACCAGAGAGGTGGCAGATCTTCACCACGGCCAGTGTCACCGGCTTGCGCACGCAGACACGCTGGGACTTGCTGTAGACAGTCCCAGGAGCAGACAAAAATGCTTGGTGAAGATGAAAAATGAAATTCTGTCCCTGCATCTCACCAGCCACCTTTCAGGTGGGACATGGCCACACCGTGTGGCTGATGTCCACCCTGAGGTGACCTGAAGGTGGAACAGGGGTGGTGCCACCTGACGGTGGCAGAGATGTGAAACGGTGTCACTGTCTAGGAAAATGCTGGGGGCCTGAGCCTGGCTGGGGCTGGGGCGCCGGGATGCTCACCTGCTCAAAGAGGCCAATGTAGAGGACAGGCAGGGTGGAGTAGAGCAGGTTGAAAAACGCAAGGAACCAGCCTTCGTATATGGGCTGCAAAACGAGAGAGGGGCGGTGAGGGGGAGCCCGCCACCCAGTGTCCGCAGCCCTCCTCAACCTGGAACCCCGTCAAGCCAGCCAGGCGCCTGGAAAGCCCCCACCCTGTCCAGGCTGGGGGTCACTGCTGTTGGGGGCCAATGACTCTAGACCTGGCCTGTCCTCACCACCTCTCAGGGCTCACCCCCATTCTTACAGCCCATCGGCCTGTCTCCTCCAGGGCCCTCCTCTCTCACTCTGGCCCTTGACCTTCCCCAGCCTGACACCTCTCCCCCGCCCTGACAACATGCCCAAAGCCAGGCCGAGAGAGGAGGCAAAGGCTGGGACACTGAGCCCATTTTTAAAACCCCTTGAGATTTGCGTTTATGCGAGTGAAAGCACATGAGCTTTCTGAAACTGCGTACCATCAATAAAGGTTGCTGGGAGCTGAGTTGCTTGTGACACCCCCCTCCCCGGGATAGTGCACACCTGCCCCCCAACCCCAATCCCTTGGGCTGCCATCTTCCGGGAACAGGCTGTCGGGTCCTCCTCCTTCAGAGCTGCTGGAGCTTCACACTGACCCCCTCCCCGCTCACAGCTGAGTGCTGACCTGTTGCCTCCACCCCCAGGACGCTCATGAACAGGTCAACGGGAAGACTGAGGGATGGAGAGGGCGGGGGATGGAGAGGGAGAGGAGGAGAGGGATGGAGGGGGGATGGAGAGGGCAGGGGATGGAGGGGGGATGAAGAAAAGGATAGAGGAGGAGGGGGGATGGAGGGGGATGGAGCGGGCAGGGAGGAGCTTGGAGCCCACCTGGGCCGTGAAGCCGTTGAAGAAGGCATACCACGTCTGCGCCATCATGCTGGCCGGCGTCTTGAAGATGAAGTACCGCAGGAACTTGCAGATGCGCAGGTAGGACCAGCGTCCGTGCACCAGCAGGAGACGCTTCAGGAACGAGAACTGGGCCACCACGTAGTCACTGTTCTGAACGGCCTGCATGCCCTCCTGGCCGGCCAGCCCCACACCGATGTCCGCCGCTGCGGGCCGGTCCACAGCTCAGCGGTCAGCGGATGTCCCACTCCCACCCACCCAGCCGCCGCCCACAATCCCCTCTGCCCACTGCCCACTTTCTCTAGACACCTCCCAGCCCCACCCAGGCCCCTCTGTCCACTGTCTACCCCCTAAAGTCCCCTAGTTCCCACCCACAGTCTTCTCTGTCCACTGACCCACCCTCCCAGTTCCCGCCATGATCCCCTCTGCCCACTGCCCAACCGCCCGAGTTCACACCCACGGGCCCCTCTGCTCACTCACCCTCTCTGAACCCCTTCCAGCCCTGACCCACAGTTCCCTCTACCCAATGACCACTCTCCAAAGCATGTGCACCACCCTTCCCCAGGACTGCCCCATGGCCCCAGGATCTCATCTGCAGTCCCCCACCCTCTCCATAGCCCTCAGGAATGTCCCCTTTGGGTTCCAGGCTGCCCCATTCCCGCTGCCACCCCACCACCAGACGGCCCCACACGCCGTCATTCATACCCCTCCCCAACAATGGCCCAGTGCTACCACGACCTCCCCTGACCACCCTGCCCCAGGAAGGCCCTGATCCCCCATTACCCCTCATCACCATACCAGGCCCTATCCCTCCACCTCAGCCCCCCAGGACCACGGCTCCCCCATCTACCCTGGACCACATTCTCCCCACTGACCTCTTCCTCCTCCACCCTACTACCAGGACCCAGGACGCCCAGGATCATCCACCCCAGACCCCCCTCTTTCAGCCCCCATGCGCTGCCCCCCCAGACCGCCTGGATTACCCCTCCCTCTGCCCTCTTTCCAGGACCACCCACCCTGTAATGCTCACTCGGTCATGTTCACGTCATTGGCACCATGACACACCCTGGCCCACCAGAACCATTCGGGCCACCTCTCCATGCCCCCAGCCCCCGCTCCTTGCCCCTCAGATCAGCCCTCCCTATGCCCCTCACCCCCCCCCGCCCCCAGGCCCACCCAGCCCACCTCTCCCTCGCCCTCCCTCCAGGGCCACCCCTCGCCCCTCCCCTGTAATGCTCACTCTTGATCATGTTCACGTCATTGGCGCCGTCCCCAATGGCCAAGGTCACGACTTTCTTATGTTTCTTGACCATCGTGACGATTGAGGCTTTCTGCTTGGGCGTCACACGGTAGCAGATGACCGCCTGGCAGCACACAGCCAAGTCCACGAAGGCCCGCTCCCACCTCACCTCGCTGCCCTCTCGGGACTCGGCCTCCCGCGACCACCTGGGCCCCCAGGTGCACCCCAGCCACGCCGAAACTGAGCACCACGCGCGAGCCAGAAACGGTGGCAGGGGTGGCCGGGCACCCTGCTCTGGCTCCCTCCACACGTCGCCGTGGGGCACAATTGATGACAAGGTCCAGGACGTATTGTGGCTCTTGTCCACCTCGGTCTGGGTTATCACCTGGTCCTGCCCACAGGAGCAGAGGCCTGTCACGCTCTGTCCTCAGCCTCGACCACCCCCCAGGCCCCCCTGGCTGTGCCCCTCCCTGGCTCCAGCCCCCTTGAGCCCAAGTCTTGTGGTGGGTACTAGAGGACCTTCAGTGACCCTGAGGTCATCCAGCCGTCAACCTCCAGGACTCCTTCCCACCCCTGGGCGAGCCCACCACTCAACCCTGCCCAGCGGTTCCAGGGAGGCCCTTTGTCCTCTGTTCCGGGTACCCCCCCACCCCACCCCTCCCTCTGTCATGGGGCTCCCCCTCTATCCCGAGCCCTGAGGCAGTGGCACTGACCAGGAAGTCCCCACTGATGACCATGGCCATCTTGGCATGTGACAGGCCCCGGTTCTGCTCGTCCTGAAGGTTGTTGTTACTCTCCCAGTAGTTCTGTAGCATGGACCTGGGGGACCAGCGGGGGCCAGTCACACCGGCAGCCCAGGCACGGGACAAAGACCCTCAGGGTCCCACCAGGGGGAGACTGCAGGTGCTCCACAGACTCCCTGGGGCTCCCCTTAGGCTGTGGGTGCCCCTGGCCTTGCCCTCCCCTCCTCCCACCACGCATCCCCACCCCCACCCTGCTCACATAACTTCCGACTCTTCCAAAATGATCATGTCCTCTGAGAGCAGCCGGCAGGCAAAAGCGATGTTGACCGCAGTCTCTGCAAACCAGCCTCACTCAGTCCACGGCCCCGCTGCCCAGGCTCCTCGCAGCCCTCCTCCCCCGGGCCTCTGGCCACACCAGTCTGGTCCACCACCCTCAGGGTGGAATCCTGAGGGGGACACTGACCCAGACAGTCACAGTAGCGTGTCCTGTCCCTGCCCAGGACTGACTGACCACTGGGCACTGTGCCTTGGGCCTCAGATGCCTCAAATGATTTTAAAATCAAAAGGAAAAACGTTGACACAATTCAGTCATCAAGTCCAGACAATTCACGGTGGTCCAGTCAGAACCGACCCAGAGCTGACCCTCTAGTGGGTTTTCAGAGGCTAGAAATCTCTCAAGGGGAAACTTCCCATCGTTCTCCTTTGGATTTGAACTGCTGGCCTTGGAGTTGGCAGTGCAGCTCCTTACTCGCTCAGCACCGCGCTCCTCCTGGGCACCGCGGGGCCTCACACCCCTTCCTAACACTCTTGTGGTGCCCCTCTAACCGAACGGTCAGTGTGTGAACCCACAAGCAAGTCCACAGGACAAAGACTGTCTCCTCCGCTCACCAGTTACAGTGCTGGATGGCCGCAGCAGGACCTCCGTGTCCCTCTGACCATGCGGCTTTGGGGTTTGAATGTTTTGTGGGAGGAAGGGACCCCAAAAGGCACAGTGCCTAGGCCTTACTTAGCCCTGGTGAGTCCCTCCCCAGCAACCTTCTTGACTCCAAATTTCCAGCAGCCTGAGGACCTGCAGTTAGGGTACCCCTGGTGTGCGAATTGAAGGGTCCAGGGAGAGGGTCAGAGGGTCAGAGAGCTCAGCTCAGCCCACACACCAGGCCCCTCCCCTGACTCTGAAGGTGTCACTGTGTCAGCCACAGTCAGTCAGGCGGCACAGCGGTCAGTCCCCTCAGAGGTCAGTCACCTCGGAGGACTGACGCTGTCATGTCTCATGTGGCTTCCTACTGGGGACCTATGTGGAGTCCACTTGGAGACCCACCCACCCTGAGTGTGGGGCAGAGCTGCCCAAGGGCCCCTCTGCTGCGTGGACACAGCCCATGGCCTCGCGGAAACCTGGTGATCCCAATGCCACCTTCACGAGCGAGCTCAGTGTTTAACTGGTGCGTCACTCGGGCCCCATAACCCAGAAGATTGATTAAGCTGCTGGCCAGACTCGGGCAGGTGACGGGGCTCCTCCCTAACCCTCTCCCTGCACAGAAGCGGGGCAACAGTGTAGCCTATGACCCACCTTTCTTGTCCCCCGTCAGCACCCACACTTTGATATTCCCCTTCTTGAGACAACTGATCGTGTCGGGGACACCGTCCTGCAGCCTGTCCTCAATGGCAGTGGCTCCCAGGAGCTGGAGAGGGAGGACGGTGTGAGCGGAGGGGGGCCGGTGTGAGCGGACGGGGGCCAGTGTGAGCAGAGCTGGGGGCTGGTGTGAACGGAGGC